TGTAAGATTTCAAGAGGGACATGCATGTACTAGCGGGATATTGGAACTCACAGCACAATCTCGTAATTTATTCCTTTTCAAACTAAATCATCTTCAGCATCATCTGTATTGATCAACTACAGTATAGGAGGCCTACTTCCAAATCTGAAAGTATCAGAGACTATAGTATAGAGACTATAATACCATTTAGATCTGAATAAACAAAACTGATGCGTGTTCCCATTCAGCACTATATATCAAGATCAGTATTTAATTCAATTGGTCTTTCGAACAATGCATCAGCACCTTCAACACTTGTAACACCAACAGATTCACAATCATTTGATTCATGGTCGATATTGCATATTGTGAAGAACATCATCACTGTCACGGACGCTGTCAACATGGTGCATCAGTGCATCATCTAGGTCTAACTCTAGGTCAGGAACATATTAACATCTATTTCATCACGGTAAACACTCAATGCATTTGATGCCGACACTTCGGCCCCCTCTCAAAAAGACTAAAGGAGGCGAGCGCTAACTGCCCTGTGTGCACGTGTGCAGGCTGATCATAGCCATCACTCACACTTTCAATTGAACGCAGCGGTTGAGCATGCTAAGCCTACGCCGAGCGGTGCACTCGTACTCACTTTCACTTTCATTCAGACAGGGGATTATCAATGATTACTTTAATTAGTCTAATAGGTCCATACTTTAACAATTTCTCATGCTCTTTCCCTCGCATTGTGGCGGAGATGTACTCACAATATACAATTTATCAGTTTAACGCGACATGCTCACAAAATAATGTTGAAAGAGATGTAGGTACTAGGTCGTATCTGGTACGTTGGCCCAACGTCATATGCTTACTTGCTTAAGTCGGGTCAACTGCCCGAGCTGTGATGGCCATCCACACATGCCTGTCCAGCATGGCTGCTTTTATCTCTGACAGTTCAAGTCCCGTATCCTTCTTGAGTAGGTCTGTGTAAGTAAGATGAGGTCTTCCAGGTTTCTTCTTCCCGTGTTTAGGCTTCCAGAGTAAAAGCTGATATATTGGTTCATTGATGTTCCTACAGCTGTGGCCTGCAAAACGTAGTCTTCTTTCCCTGATCTTTTCTGATACTTTTGGTAGATTCCCGTACAGCTCCTTATTGGTTATATGCTGGCTCCAGTGCACGTTGAATGCTGTCTTAAGAAGTCTGGTGTAGCAACCATCTAATTCTTTTGCCAGCTTTGTTGTAACTGCCCATGCTTCGCAGCCGTATAGAAGCACAGATTCAACTGTAGCAACAAACAAACGTTGTTTGAACTGCCTAGGAAAAGAAGATTTCCAGATTCTTCCAAGCTTGCTACACGCTCTCCATGCTGCTGACTTACGAGCTTTCACATCTTTTTCTGTGCTCACCATCAGTGCTCCCAGGTACTTGAAATCAGGTACATTCTCCAACTGAATTACATCATTTGTTTTTATAGTGATGATCCCCCTGTGATTGAATGACATGAACTTGGTTTTGCCTGAATTCATCCGGAGCCCGACCTTGCCTACCGATGTCTCCACCCTGCTCAAGAGTTTTTGGGCTTGCTTTAATTCCTCAGATAACAGGGCTATGTCATCGGCGAAATCTAGGTCTGTTATGATTTCCGGACCAACTCTTCTACTTCTCCTTCTTTCTAGTTGGAATCCAAGTTCTTCTTCATGGCCGTCTATAGCTGCTCGCAAGGCATAATCGAGGACTATTACAAATAGGTAAGGTGCAAGCGTGTCACCTTGAAGCACACCAGCCATGATTTCAAAGAGGTCAGTCTCTCCATCAGGTGATATTACTTTTGCTTTGGTGTCTTCGTACATCTTGCCGATAGCATTCACCAGTTGTTCCGGTATGCCATATGCAGTAAGGATCTTCAACATCTTGCCTCTGTGGATGGTATCGAAGGCTTTGCGAAGTCAATAAATGTGATAATAGCCGGGAGCTGATTTCTTTTACTCCTTCTATAAGCCTGCGAAGTGCCAAAATATGTCCCACTGTGGTCCTTCCAACTCTGAATCCATTTTGGTTGGTTCTCAGGTGACTATCAAGTACAGGTCTGATCCTGTTCAAAATCAATCTATTGAAAGTTTTGGCCACGATGGAGCTTAGACTGATTCCTCGATAGTTTCCTCCTTGGCTCAGGTCTCCAGACTTTGGTATTGGTACAATGTTCAGTATGGACCATTGGTGGGGCTTTTCTTCATTGATCAGAGCGTTGTTGCAGAAACTCAGAATGATTTCATCCATGTCACATCTTTTTAGAACCTCTGGTGGTATGCCATCTTCCCCAAAGCTCTTCCCTTCTACTAGTGACTTTATAGCCTTTGAATATTCTTTAAGATCAAATGGCCCTGTCTTGATGTTCAGACTCTCTAGTATAGGCAGAATTTCTTCATCCTCATCATCTATATCAGGAGGGCTTCCAAGAAGATTCTTGAAGTGGTTGAACCAGTTTATGACCCTGTCTTTCTGTGTGTCTCCTTTTAACTGCCCTTTCGGAGATGCTTTCCTTCCGGTTTTGTCATTTATGAGTCTCCAGCTCTGCCCATGTTTACTGTTGGCATGCGCTCTCTCCACATCTTTTAGTTTACTATCAAGATCTTCTTCTATAACTACATTGTATGCTTCTTCAAGGTTGTGCTTGGCTTGCTTGTAGATCTGCCGATTTTCATCAGTTGTATCTTTCTGGTACTCCATGTAGGCTTTATTGATCTTATTTCTAGCACTGATTACACGTGTATCGTTGGGAAAATGCAACTTTCTTGTCTTCTTTTTCACTGGGATAACTTTCTCAGTAGCCTCCTTATGTGCTGTTATGAATCGCTCATACCCCTCGGTAGCTGATTCTTCCTCCTTCTCTAGGGGCTGGAACCTATTGCGGACTTCAATGCTGTATAGCTTCTGAAGGTGGTTGTCAGTGCTGAGAAGTTTCCAATCGTGCTGTTTTCCTTTTGAATTGTCGTAGTGTCCTTCAATGATATCCTCGTTCATTACGTTGGTTGGGCAATAAGTTGTAATGACTGTAGTTGCAGGGTTTCCTTGAAAGTTTGCAACGTCATATAGCCAACCAATATATACATGCACTATTTATAAGTAAAGATGGAGAAGATGAACCATCGTTTAGCCAAGCTTGATCCAACGTCGTATATCCAACATATCCACCATTTATCAGTGAGATTTGAAACGATGGACCAACGGCAACGTCGATGATCATCCAACGTTATCCTAAAGTCGAATAGCCAACCAATAGCCACCATGTATCCATAAACTTGGCGACAGTGGACCATCGTTTAGCCAACATTGGGCCAACGTCGAAAAACCGATTAATAACCACCATTTATCAGGTCGTATAGCCAAACAATATCCACCAGTTATCAGTAAACATTGAGACGATGGACCAACATTAAACCAACATTGGCCCAACGTCGTATAGCCGACCAATAACCACCATTTATCAGCAAAAATGGCGACAATGGACCAACGTTTAGCCAACATTGGGCCAACGTCGAATAGCCTACCAAAGTAACCATTTATTAGTAAACATTGAGAGGATGGACCAATACGTTAAGCCAACATTGGCCTAACGTCGAATAGCCGACCAATAACCACCATTTATCAGCAAAAATGGCGACAGTGAACCAACGTTGAGACGATGGACGAACGTTAAGCCAACGTTAGCCCAGCGTCGAATAGCCAACCAAAAACTACCATTTATGAGTTAAAATTGAGACGATGGACCAACGTTAAGCCAACGTTATCTCAAGGAATTTCGAGTTTTCATTATTTTCAACTGTATGGACATGGGAAAAGAAATCCTGAGTGTGGAAATTATCGTACAATTTCC